TATTAATTTTTTTTTAATAGCCAATTGGTGGGAAGCTTATGGCAAGTCAACAAAACTTCTCCAAAAGTTTGCTATAAAGGTTTTAAGCCTTACTTGCAGTTCTTCTGGTTGTGAACGAAATTGGAGCGTGTTTGAGCATGTAAGTATATACTATTTACTAACTAGGTTTGTAATTTAATTGCTGAAAATTAAAATTTTAATTTTTTATACTTACTAGTTAAAGTTGAATTTATTGCAGCTTCATAACAAGAAAAGAAATAGGCTCGCTCAAACAACATTGAATGATTTAGTGTTCATCAAATATAATAGAGCATTGAGGCGTCGATATAATATGCGTGACACTCTTGATCCCATTTTACTCGATGACATTGATGAGAGCAACGAGTGGTTGACGGGGAGGATGGATGATTCTGATGCAGAACATGATCTAGTCTATGAAGATGATTCCTTGACATGGGGTGATGTTGCTAATTTTGCTGGTATTGGAGAGGCAAGCAGGCCGCAACGGTCTACTAGATCAAAATCTAGTTCTAGTTCACGGTTACCAACAAAGGGAGCAGGAAGTTCTTCAGTTCGACTTGTGGATGAGGATGAGGATGATTCAGATGAGATAGAAGAGGATCCTGAGAATTATGAATCATTTAGTGATGATCAAAATGATGTTATGCTTATTGATGACGAGGATGATATTTAGATTCATTGGTATTGTCTTTTTAGGAAGAATGATGTTTATGTTTGTTTTAGTTTTATCTTATACTTCTCCTTAGTTGACTTTTGCATCTTTATGTTAATATGTTTGATTATTCACTGTTTTGAACTCAAGTACTTGATTTACTTGGTTTTGGCATCTTTATGTTGAATATTTAACTTAAGTAATTCATTTAGTTGACTTTTACATCTTTCTATATATTATTGCATGATTTGCATCTTTAATACTTTATTGGGTGGGTTTTGTTTTTTTTTTTTTTCCAACGTGCGCCTTGCTTCAGTCGGGCGCGCGCCTCGCCTTGCGCCTTGCGCCTCAGGCTCCAGGAGGCATTTGCGCTTTTGTGTGCCTTGAGCCTTTAACAACTATGGCTAAGTGTGTAACTACTTGCATACAACTAGTGGAGCTTATATTGGCTGAGGCCAAGAACCAAGGTTTTTCCCTATTGAGAGGGTTTTCCTTATGTACCTCGTGTTCATTGTATTGTCTGTCATCTTTGATCTGTGATGTGAAGAAGAAGGATTTTAAATTGACCAATTCACCCCTCCTCTTGGTCCAACACCTTGCCAGTGTGGTTTTGAGTGGTGTGGTCTTCTCTGCTGTTCGTGATCTCTTTTCAGGAGCTCTATTTTCAATACTCGGTGGTTCTCGTTGAGCTCTCAGGATGTTCACCCGCTCCCTTGGCCGGCTTTCCACCATAATTAGTGTTACCCTTTGTTGTCTCGTCATCTCATTCTCCTTGAGTCTGATATAATTCTGGGCCTTTGCATTTAGTTCTGACATGTCCGACGGAGTCTTTTTCACTAGCGAGGAGTGGAACCTTGTGCCCTAGATCATGTCTATTTTGAATTCTTCTATGTCTGTTGCCTGATTACTGTCTGGAATGCCAGAAGATTCCATATTGAACCTGGTGAGGAAAGTTTGGAGCCCTTCGCCCTTCATATGCCGAATGGTAACTAGGCTGGAAGTAGTCTTCTTTTGCTTCTTATTTCCGCAGTATTAGGCCAAGAATGCTATGCATAGCTTTTCGAAATTGAGATTGATTTATGTTACTTGTTCTTGAACCATTCCAACGCCACTCCTGTTAGGCTGGATGGGAATATTTTACACATGAAAGGATCGTTTCGTGCCTCTAGAGTCATTTCTTGGTTATAATGGTCTAAATGCAAGAGAGGATCTCCGGTTCCATTGAACTTAATGAACTTTGGCATGGTAAACTTCTAAGGTCTTTCGACCTGCTCTATTTTGTCCGTGAAGGGAGTCTTGATTATAGAGGCAATGAATTCTCTCACCATGTCTTCACGTGTCTGGGCTTTCAGTCCCTTGATCCGCTCGTCCTCTTCTCTTCGGTAGCTTGCTAGAACATCGGCTCGTGGCAAGTGTTGATGATGCTCATTTGGGACCTAAGTATTCCGCCTCTGCATGGGATTGGCTTATTGTGTCATCACCATCGTGCTACTCTAGAGCAGTGCGTGGCACATTGAGATTCAGTGGTTGCCGAGGGGCCCTTGACTGCTGGAAGGGATTGTTGAGCCTTTGGGCCAGTGGCGCTGGTGGTGGGTTTAACCGCTGGTTCTGATGTTCGGGTTGAGGACTGAGCGGAACCGGTTGCTAGTCCACTAGGTGAGGTGGATTGACCTGCCAGGTGGCAACCCGAAGTTCCTCATTTTCTTGACACAAAGCGTTGATCTGTGTTGTGCTAGCCTCGTTGGCTTGCCTTGAGGCATTGATCTGTTCAGCGCTGGCCTCATTAGCTTGGCATATGGTGTCAAACTGTGCCTGCATCTCCTCACACATTTTTTGTATGATTTCCAGTTGCTGCAGTTGAACGGCATCTAATCCTGTTGCCATTCCGGAGCAATGTATCATAATTCAGAATAATAGTGAGAGGCTTTTCGTAGCTTCCCATAGACGGCGCCAAAGTGTAGGTGCATAAAATCTCGGACTGAACACTAAGGTTCAATTTGGGAATCTCAATGCTCAAACACTCAATTGAGAACAATAGAAGGTTGCTAAAATACTCCAAAATAACCGAAGGGAAGAAGAAGAAGTATACAGCCATTAGCAACTTAAGAGAATAAGATTAGAAACAATGAGATCAAGCAAGAACAAGGTCAAATAGAACTCAATCCCTTTCATTTGGGTCTTGCCCCCTTATTTATATCTATACAAGGAGATTTTTATGGGACTGTTACTGACTGTTATATATATGGACATTATTTCCTGATTTCCTCCCGATTCCTTGTGATTTTGATGGCGGGCATTACTCTCAGTTGTGTTGACCAAGGCTTTGGATTGGGCTTGCTGGGCTTTGTTTTGCTTTTCGGCCGATTAGGTGTTTAGTGTTTTCCTTCTGGACCTTTAGTTGCTTGGTGCGGTTTTGGGCTCTTGGCCCAATATCTTTTGGTTGGCCTTTTATTGACATTGGCATCTTGTGAGTGGTGGGAAAATTTTCCTCCACAATACCGTACTCAACACAAGACCTGAATAAAGAAGTTGAAAACTTGTGATTATCATTGTTGTCCTGCAAGGAGCTGGCCTTATACAAGCAGAGACTTGAATCTCAAAGGTTATTCGTTATTGTGTTAGACCTTTCTTTGAAAATATTTGCTTTTGGAAAGTTTACGAAAAGAACTTTTTGTATCTTTATTGAATATAAATATTAGATATCTCAAGGAACTTGTTTAAAAGCTTCTAGAAGAATCCCTTTTTTAGCAATAGGAGGTTTTTTTTAGATGGTGAAAATGGTGGCCTTAGCCTCAAGGAACAGGTGTAATATCACCAGCAAATGCTCTTTGCTGCCCTTTAGTCATATTCAAGACTATGCTAATAAAAAATTGATGTTTTTTTAAAAGGATTATCTGATTGCTGCATTAATTTGAGTACTTGAAAGTTTGTTTAGAAAATCTACGTAAGAGGTTAGAAATGTTACTTGGAAATTATTGTATTCCTACCTTGTTGATCCATTTCATTTTTTTGTTTGTACTTCTGCTATGAGTTGTTTTTTTGTTTACTTAAGGATTTTAAAGTAATATATACAACTCAACTGAACTCAATAAAATCTTACCCAAGAAAATTACTAAACAGATAAAAATAAAGAAAAGAAAATAAATTATAACAACACAAAGGCTCATCTCAACTGGTTGGCTGCATGGATACTGAGCTGTTACACACTTGCTCATATTATATTTTCCTTACTATTTACATTATCCTTAATGCGGAGCGTGTCATTCTCTCTCATCGTTGTAATTAATGGTTTAGTTCTTAGTCAAATTTACTCATTTTATACATTCTTTTCATATTTGCAATTTGACCTTATCTTATAGTCACTGAGCGTTTTGTCTAATAGAATATATATATATATTTTTTTGAGAAGTAAATATATATTAACAGAGGTGCTCAAAGGGGAGCGACCCTTAACAAAGCAAACAAAAGACGCAAAAGGCGCCATTACAACGATAAGTTGTCAACAAATCCAAAAAACTGTCCAAAGATGAACAATTTTTCCCAATAACCCAAAAATAAAGAGAATGCAAAATATTCGACTTAATAACCCACACTGGTGACTCCTTTCCATCGAAAGATCTCCTATTCCACTCGTGCCACAACCCCACCATACACAAAGAGGGGCTACCCTCCAATCTTTTAATTTTGTCTCATAGAATATTGATGGTCTAATAACTGTGTTGAGCAATTTTTCTTTTAGTTTATGGGTATGCATACAAAAGCATTCCACTTAATCTTATCTGCTTTGATTCCACGAGTAACATATTCTCCAGTTTCTCTTTCCTCGTGGATAAACAAGCTCGGGTAACCAGAGTGTTCACACTCAGAAATCTCTTGGGTTTTGATCTTCAATACATCCCCATTATATTTCATGTATTCTGTTTTTTATTCTATTTATCTTAAATCCTTTCCATTTTGGAAAATATTTGGATCATCTCTCGAAATCTTAAATAAGTATTTATCCCTGCTTATTGTCATCAGAAAAGGAGTTCCAAAAGTTCTTGTTCATCTTTAAATAAGTCTAAGAAAAGATAAAGGTTTGAGTAAGCCCGTGTCACTAATCTTTAAATAAGACAAAAAATTATAAATCTCTTGAAGTAAACCTATTTTGCACAGTTGAATTTTTATATAACATCTCTGTAATTCTGTTTTTTCGTCTACCTCCACTGTCCTTGCATCATTATCCCATTGAGAAGAGGAGGGTGGTTTCTCATCACATTGTACTTCTCTTTTGTTTTTTAAATAGTCGTTAATTCCTTTTAATTATTTTGAATCATCTTCTTCGTAGTCTCAACGACTGGGGAACAATTTCAAGGATCTATTGGATTTATATAGTGGAGGTGAAATTCCCATGCAAGAGATGGCTGACAAACTAATGAGGAATACAGTTAAAGATGACGAGAACATGCTGCCTCACATCTATTCTATTGAGTGGGAGTACCAATTGAGTTCCATATTTGTTGAATCAGTAACTCCTTCAGTAAGCTTAGGCTCTCTCTTCTCTCTCTATACATATATGTATGTATGTATGTATGTATGTATCTGTTTGTCTGTCTGTCTATCTTTGTGTGTGTGCATGTATCCTTCCAAAGAAACATCTCAAGTTTCTCTGTTGCATAGGGGCTTTATGGAACAAGAAGCACCTCTGCGTTGTCTCTTAAAACAAGTGGGGAGGTAAGCTTCTATGAAAGGTATGTTGAGAAGGAAATATGGAAAGAGCAGACAGTGAACTACCAGATTGAGAATATGACGTAGAAGGGTAGTTTCTTGCCAGGCTTCTTTGCTGAAGAAATGTATTGCTGATCCTGTATTGATTTTAATTGGAATAATCCGCACGAGCAAGATCATATCAAGGCAGATGTGTGACAATTTAGCTAAATAATCTTGTAAGTCAATGCTCTCAGCTTTCTTACTTATTGTGTTTCACAACTTTATACGTAAACAGTCACATGCAGACTAACAAGTTACTTTGTGGCACCTCTATCTTTTACCCTGCTCCTTGATTTGCATAATAGACCTAGGAATAAAATCTGATGACGTTAAAGATGAGGCTGTATAAATTGTTAGCAAGTGGCTTCATGACCAAAAGGTGAAAATTGCAGTGGTTTTTGACATGTAGAATGTGTTTTATCGACTCTGTTGTGTTGCGCATTTGCCATGTTACCATGTAAAAATTTTGTGTAGCTTTTCGGTATTATTTTCTTTTCTAAATCTTATTATTCTGAGAAAGTTTGTAAAGAGTTGAAGATAAAAATAGGCACTTCATGGTTGTCTATCCTGAACGGACCATAACTTTTTGCAGCTGCACCTGCTCTTGCCCTGTGGTGGAAAATACTACCGATATCCCAATCTAACGCATTTAGCTTAATTATAAAATATTAATAAGTTTATGAGTATGTTCAACTTCTAAGAATCTGTTTTTAAGCTTTAGAAGCAATGCACCAATCAACAAATATCTAATAGTTAAATCAAATCTAGTTAGTTGGGAAAGCGTAAAAAAGTTGTTTTCAATAACAACTAATATGCCAACTCAATGAGGGACAGAATCAGATAACATTTCACAAAACAGTGTCTACAGCTTTTTCTTTTTTCTTTTTTTCTTTTTGTGTGTGTGTGTGTGTTTCTTGATTGTGTGTGTGGGTTTGTGAGTAAATGAAGAATTAGAACTAGAGTGTAGTAGGTTCTATGATACGTGTAACCATTTTTCGGTCTCTTGACGAACTGAATCAGGTCTCTCAAATATTTTACTATTTATTTTAATCAAGTTACATGATATCCAGATTGTTTGTAATCTTTTCTTGGTAGGAAGGTGTGCAAGATACCAGTTGATGGACTCATTTAATTAGATCATCTAATAATGTGATTAATTCTATTCCAGTGCCATATATTATTGAAACTGTACATATATACCTGAATCTATATATATATATATATGATGCTCTAGGAAAAGAAAAATCATATACAATAAAGATGCCTGGGTGTTGTATTCACAATAAGAACTTCCTTCCAAGTTATTGAGATGACAATATGGTTTTTGTGATCTTTGAGTCCTAAATTTGTTTGAAGAGGGCTACACTGTAAGCATATGCTTCTGTGACATCAATGGAAAGTAAGGGGTCAAAATATATATACATATATGTTTGTGTATATAATATATACTCAAGCCAAAGATCATGTTTTAGCATGGAAGTCTTTTTTAATATATTGGTAGATAAATCATCGCCTGCCCAACACAATTTTGAAGTAAGTTCATTTCATTTAACCGTTGAGTTCATGTTTAATGTCATTGGAATTGGTTGTGATGGTGAAAATTGTAAGACTAACGAATTTTCAGCGTCTGATTTGGAAGAGGTTCTGGATTTTGAGGGTTGAATTTCCTGCTGATTTTTGTGGAGATATCTCGTATTCATGGCTTGCTTTGGTATTTTTCTTTTATTATATGATATTATATAGGGTAAAATGCAAACAAAAAAAAAAAAAAAAAAAAAAAAAAAAATCCCTAAACTATGGGAAAACCTGCAACAAACTAACCCCTGAATTACCAAAAATTCAAGAAACCCCCTGATTTATGCAAAAAAGTTGCAGATCATCCGGCCGAGGTCTGGTGAGATTTAGCTGTTAAAATTTGTTAAATTATTTTAAAAGACAATACTACCCTTAGAAGCATGAAAGGACAATAGTGCCCTTAATTTCCAACTGTTAGACCCCAATATCCCAATCTTGCAACAAAGCCAAACATGGCTTTAACCAAATTTCCCCAAATCCATACTCTGCAACTGGTTGGGTTTTCTCTTGGTGTTCTTGGTGCTTAATCGGCTGTTAATCTTGGTGAATGAACATCTTGTTTTTGGGAGTTGAAAAATAACCTATCACTCATTGTTGTGATTCTATACATACATTCAAAACTCAAATCATTGATTTAATTTCTTAGTAAAAGTTGAATTCACAGTTGATTTAATTGCCAAGAACTAATTAATTGTGCGTTCAGATTCAGAAGTTGTATGGAGAATTTGCTACAGTTTTCATGCTTATTTGTGTACTGACATCAAGAGCTCAATGAAGCCAGGGTTAATATGTTTTGGAGACGAGAAACTGAGAATAGGAGAGAAGAAAAAGAATTAATTGGTTGAGGATCACTACAATCATATTATTCTTGAAAACAAGAGACAATGTGCGTCACGCATATCTTGAAACCCAAGTTTGATATCTTTATGAAATGTCCCTGTATCAAAATTGCCAAAGCAACCAATCGGCCAGTGACTTAGCGGTATCAGCCTCTTACCTCCCAAAGGAAAGTTAAGGGTACAAGTCTCAGAAGAGACGTGTGTGTGAGTACCAACTAGGAAAAAAATAAAAAATAAAAATTGTCAAAGCAAAGACAAAAGAAAAACAAGAAGAAGATTTTGAGAGCAGATAGGAATTATTATCAAAATGAAGAAAAAAAATACTGCATATGGGTATAGGAATTATTGTCGAAATGAAGAAGAAAAAAACACTGCATATGGGTTGGTTTAATTCGCTGGAGGCGAAGAAGACGAGTGATTCAGCTTCTGTTGGGGGAAGCCGCCGTTGCGAAGAGGAGAGGAACGGAGGCTGGACCAGTTTTGGGTTTTTGAATGGCTGGATCTGGCAAGGCCGATAGTAACCGACTTTCTCTCTCTGCACTCTCACATATCTGCAATCGTCTTTCACCCATCTTATCTTTCTCCTCATAACTCTCACCATTCTCTTCAACATCGTCACTTCCGAGTCGGACTCGGACCGAGTCACCAACCTTCTCAACCTCCAAGCCCGATCTGAATTCGGGATCATCTACCTCAACGTCCAAAACCTCAACCGCTTCATCACCTCTTCAAACCGCTCCCGCAATCTCAAGGATGATTCGCTTCAAATGGACGCCAGAGGCTTCTCCTGCTTGGCCGAGTCCATGGTTGAATTCATCGACTCCAAAACCAAGCTCACCATCAGTGTCTGTAATTTGGGAAAAGAGAGATGACATGGAGGGGGTTCAAGGTTTGATTTAATGACGAAGGTTGCTGTTGGTGAGGTGATGAATTTGGGTGGTAGCACAGCTGGGCATAGATGAGTAGAGAGATAGAGTGTTTTTGGGTCTGCAAATAAGAAGAGGGTCTGCAGTTGGTTTGATATTTGTTTGCCAAACTGCGTCGTTTTATTGGAAGGGCAATTTCATCTTTTTTCTTTTCCAGTGGCCTGAGTGGGTAAATTGCAACAACTTCAAAGTTCAAGGGGTTTCTTGTAGTTCAGGGGGTTAGTTGCAAAACCCTCATAATTTAGGTTTTTTTTTTTTTTTTTTTTGGTGCATTTTACCCTATTATATATGTATATCATTTTTCATTTGGGTAGATAAACGATAGGAACTAGTTGTAGATAGTTGGAAAGTTTTGATTCTATGAGACTTATTTGAACTAGTAGTAGATAGTTGGAAAGTTTTGATTATATGAGACTAATTTAAATAAAACCCATACCAACACACTCCCGAATCGTGAGAGTGCAAGTGTAAGTTTCTTGTCAAGAAAATAAAAATTATTTTAGAATATGTGTATGTTATTATGCTTACCATTATCGCTCTTAACCATGGAGTCTCATAGTAGATAAATTATTAGGACATGATTCTAATTTCTAAGTCTAATAATAGATATATATACATATATATGGGTTAAGTGCGCTAAACCCCCTAAGCTTTCTTCTCTCTTCCAAAAACCTTAAGAAAGACACTTGACTCCCTAAATTATTCTGCTTATTGCAAAAAAAAAAAAAAAAATCAAATTCTGTTACTTAGCCATCTCATATTTAAGGCCAAGTGAAAGGGAGTACGTGACCCATATTGCTTTGAGAAAATTTTATAATCCCAAATATACCCTTATTCGAACAAATTCACCAGTGTCATGGTACTCCTTTATAATGGACCACAAAAACACAATCAACAACCAATACTTCACCAACCCAGCCACATTCAGACTCTATTTGTTTGGACGTAAAATATTTTTTAGAAAATATTTTTTTATTTTTTAATGTTTGGTTATCATAAAATATTTAAAAAGAAAAAGTATATTAAAATTTAACAAAAATAACTTATCTATTAATTTTTGATAAATTATTTTACATGTTCCGGCCAATGAACTCGACCTCAACATTGATGTAGACGTTTATCCAATACCGACAAAGTAAAAATAATAGAATATTTTACCTGAAAAAAAAAAATATTTTTTAAAAAAAATATTTTATGTCAAACCAAACAAAGCCTCGTAGTCAAAGCAGAGGTCTTCCCAACAAGCAAATTCAATATAAATGCACAGAAAGAATTGATTCCAAAAATCACACCCCACAAGTCGAATTTGGCCTCTTCGTAGGAAGCAATCACAACCCCAATTATGATTGACATCATGTTTGCCATTAATTCCGATTTGAAGCTCTCTTTCTTGAAGAGATTTCCATTGGTTGCGATCTGGTACGACCAGGATGATGTACTTGTTATAGACGATGACGGTGAGGCTGAGGAAGATCCAGATGGCCACATAGGTGTAGGATAGGAGATCATCTTGATCGCGTTGTCAGTGGAATGGAGTGGGTTGACCGGGGGCACAAGATAAGCAGGGAGGGAGGGGCGTAGGATTAGAGGTATCTGCATATACGGTATGAATATATATATAGATAAATTTTCTCTTTGGAGGGTTAGGTGTTGCTTCTCTATTAGTTTTGAAAATTACATTGCCATAAAACTATAAAACTACAAAACCAAAGGACTAATTGGCTCAGTAATATCACCTGGGGTTCGAATTTTGATAAAGATAGAGTGTATCTGTAATTATTTTATTAGTAGATAAATTATCACATGATTTCAACATGTGACTGACTGGGGATTACGTAATTTGTTTACGTATTATTTGATAATTGATTGAGACTTGAAATGAGCTTGAAAATTTATACATATTCTCTTAATCAATGCACCATGTAGGCAAATGTGTAGGAGCAATATTATTTATTAAGTGTTTCTTTTTTCTTTTTCTTTTTTTTTTTTTTTTTTTTTTTTGGTGGTATTGTGCTAGTTAGTGGGAATTTAGTTGAACCGACCAATGATTTAGAACTATGTCATAATAATTTTTCTGAGCTCGTGCAATTTAAAAGCTGCCCAGGTATATACAAATATTGTATTTTAAAAATTAAAATTTTATTTTGAAAGGTATCTTAAAAATTAATTGAAAAACAAAAAAGTGTTGCACAACGAGAGTGGGTTAGAGTGGACTTATAAAGTGTTGCGGGTCCATATTTCAATCATCAACGTGTATAGGGGACAATTTTACTACCAATTGACAACCGTGTCCGTCCTAGAAAGTACCGGAAAGAAGACAGAGGGTTCGGTTTTTGCTAGCATCACAAAAGAGCCAATTGTCTCGTGAGGTGTAATGCACAAAGGGGTACTAAGAAAAATTCAACATTAGTATCATGTCGTAATTTGTCAATTTTAACAGGATTTGGTGATTGGCAGTGGTTATCATTATTATTTATTTTATTTTATTTGTTTTGAGCAGTAAGTCGGTATCATTTTGGTCATTGCTTTTGCCCTTAATAACATTTTGTTAATTTAAACTACTCTAATTCCTAAACTTTTAATAACGCTATTTCTTTCCTTTTTGTTTGGAAACCAATTATGCTATTTCTTTTTTATAAGCTACTTTTTAAAATAAATAAATAAATTTGTGAGATAATATTAAAATGTACCATACACAGTATATATAAAAATTATAAAATTTGAAATCCCATAACCTACATTTTAGTATTTTACCAATTTATACATCTAACTAAATAAACAAAAATATAAAAAAATAGTAAATAAAATAGGGGAAAAAAAAAAGGAAAAAAGAGAGAATAAAAACCCTCATCCTCCTCACCTCTCCAACTCTCCTTTCTTTCCCCATTTTTCCACTGCATTCTCCTACAATACATATATAATCACATTGTGAATTAATGTTAAAAAGAATACTACAATATATATAAATATATGTATATGTATACATATGTGTATGCGTTAGTCCAGGGCGTTAGGACCAGCACAAGCTTTCAAAATAGGGCTCCAAATCCACTGTACCAAAAACTTTCTACCCCTCCTACCATTCATATTAAACGTCCTCCCCTCTCTATCCTTCATCACCTGCCCTATATACCCGCCACCGCCACCCGACCCGTATAACCCCTCACACAAGTCCCCGATCTCCGTTGGGGCCGTGGGGTCCTCGCCGGCGTACCACGCGTTGATCAAAGGGTTCGTTGCCAGCTCAGCCAGCTCGTGACCGATCACGCTGATCATACCGTCCACACCCACATCGGAATTCGGTGGGACAAGCGAACCAGGTCCACCACCCGCCATGTAAGCGGGTACCGCAAACGGGTAGGCACAGACTTCGGGGCATTGTTTACCCGAATTGCCAACCCACGCGTAGGGTAAGGTGTACCCTACCATTGATGGGAAGGTGAAGTAGTGGAACCCACACACCGCTCGGCAGAAATCCTGTACGGTCACGTCCGCGGCGGTTAAGATAAGGTAGATCCCGTTCTTGTGATCTACGGGGAGGGGTGCAGATCGGACGGCTGTGGCGATGACCTGCTGGATGGAGAGGCGAGTGAGGTGGGTCCCATTGGAGTATCGGTGGTCGGAGTACTCGCCGGCGATGAGGACGGTACGGGAGACGTTGGCGCCAGTCTGGTCAGTGAAGAGGGAGGCGGTGCGCCACCAGTCGGAGACGGAGGGGGAGGGGGAGGCACGGTGGTTGACGGTGGAGAGGGAGAGGAGGAAGTCCTTGATAAGGAGCTTGTGGGGTGGAGCCCACTTGCCGTACCAGATGAGGTAGATGTTGATCGGGGAGGAGAGGACTGGACCCATGTGGTAGCGAAGGTCTATGAGGTCTGACGAACCCTCGAATTTCTTGGATGAAGAGAGAGTTCGTGGAGGGAGCTTGGGGTTGTAGTACTGTGGGTGTGTGTCAAGGGTTTGAACTGTTGTTGTGGGTGAAGCAGAGTTAGAGAGAGAAAACAAGAAGAAGAGGAGTGAGAAGAAAAGGGGTGGTGACATTTTGTTTTGGGTGGTGGCGGCGGCTGTGGAGGATAATGGAAAGAGGTGGCGGTGGTGGAGGAGAGAGAGTTATGAGACATGTTTATAAAGGAGGAGGGAGAGGGAAATGGGCTGGATACAGCTGCCATGTGTGGGCGCACTGTTCTCAAGAGTCTCTCTCTCCTGCTCTGTTTTCTTTCTGGAAAACTGGGAATCGGCATATGTAAATGACTGGACTCACCAAGTTGCTGCTAGCTCATAATTTTTCATTTTTAGATAATTAAAAAGAAAAAGAAAAGCAAAATTTTGTTTAATTAATTATTATTATTTTTCTCTCTTCCTAGAAGAGAAAAAATTATTATTCAAATATTTTAAAATTATTATTTTTTAGAATAATTATGTGACAGTAAAATTTTAAAATTTTCAATTTTTGAGAGAACTTATAAAATTCTCTTCAAAAACAGTTTTTTTTTTTTTTTTTTTTTTTCAAAATCGTAATTTATACAAACCTTTCCTATGGTTTGCCCTAATTATAGGGACCACTCTTACTGTTTCGAAAATTATGCAGACCTCCCCTAAATATGAAAATAATTTACACGGACCTCCCTTATATGTGACGAACTGTTAAATACATTAACGGACCTGTCAAAATTATTGAAATACCCTCTCCTTGACATCTGAAATTACTAAACTACCCACAAGTTATTGAGTAAGCATTACATCAGCTTGTCTTCTCCAAAAGCGCGGCACTAGCATACCCTTCTGAAAGTTAGGGTTTACATACAAATTCAAGAAACTAGAAATTAATAATCCAAATCAAAGTTACCAAAATCACAATTACCAAAATCCTATGAAGCATGAACACCGATGCAGGACACGGGTATGATACGACACGGACACGGTAATACGACAAATTTCAAAAAAATAGGATACTGACACGACAAGGATACGGTAATGAAATAATTATATATATTTTTATTGTATATAAAATTTTAATTTCTCTTAATTTTTAATTTACATTAATAGACATGATCCATTTAAATTAAGTCCAATCCAAATTCTATTAAAATTCAAACAATAAATATGTAATATATATTTATATCCAATACTAGAATTTGTATCAATACTAAAATAATTTTAACTTTGTAACCAAACACAGAAGATAAGCTTAACTTTGTAACCAAGCACTGAAGATAAGATTACAATCTTATCTTTCTATCTTCCTCGGTCTTCCCAAGTTTAACTGTCTCCAACTTCAAAATTGAATTCCTCTTTTATTATCCAATAACCATTGAAAGAGGAAGAAAAAGGCGATCTTAAGCCTTTGGTTGAGATCTGTTCACACTAGAGAGACTCTAGCATAATCGGAGTTCTTGGCCAGCCACCATCTCATCCTTCTCTTCACTTTCTTCCTTCTCTTTCATCAATAACCAACCAGAACATGATCATCAGGTTCTTAATTTCCCCTCTCCCTTCCAGTTTCTCTCTCATCCCTTCCATTTTTCTTATTATTCTGAACTGCCGTGTCCTACACCCATGTCCTCCGGTGTACCAGCCGTGTCCTCTGGTGTGTCTCGGCCGTATCTTATGGCGTGTCCGACTTGAAAAAATGAATAAAAAAATAGGACACCGGTAGATCAAGGTCGAACACGTGTTCGAGGCTGGGATACGCGTGTCCGTGTCGGACACGTATTCGACATTGGTACGTCGGCCCTACAACACGTGTCTGTGCGTCATAGCCAAAATCAAAATCACAAATCCAAGAAACTAGAAATTCATAATCCAAATCAAAGTTACCAAAATCACAATTACCAAAATCAAAATCAAAATCATCACCAAAATCAATGCCTTCCAATGGAAAATTTTGATAATTAAATCAAAGTTACCAAAATCAAAATCACAAATCCAACAAACTATAAATTATTAATCCAAATCAAAGTTACCAAAATCACAATTACCAAAATCAAAATCAAAATCATCAACAAAACCAGTGCCTTCAAACGAAAAATTCTGATAATTCTGATCAGAAGCCAAGAAACTGGACGGCGGCATTACCATTTGATCCGCAGCCGCTTGATTCATGATCAAATTATTTGCTTCCATTGCCATCTGATCCGTAGCCGCTTGATTCATGATCTAATTATTATTCATCTGATCCACTGTCGCTTGTCTTCTCTGGAAGACTCGGCGCCTCCGCAAAAGATCGGTGTCGACTCTGCGAGTTTCGAGTCAAACTTGACTACGAAGTCGAATCGTTCGTCGAGACGGAAGACTACGTGGCACCGGAGATCATATTAGGGAAGGGCCACGACTTCGCTGTGGACTGAAAAAGCCGCTGAAGCTCACCGTCATTGAGGGACTTGAACGGTTATATATATATATATATATATATATATATATATATATATATTACATATAATATGTAATTATATAGACAAGGGTGTTTTAGAAATTTTAGAAAAAATAGTAGATAACGTCATTAATTTCCGTCATTGACTAGCGTTGACCGCAACGGAAGGGAGGTCCGTGTAGGATATTTTCAAAAGTAGGGGAGATCCATGTAATTTCTGAAATAGTAAGGGTGGTTCCTGTAATTATGACAAACTATAGAGAAGGTTTGTGCAAATTACTCTTTTCAAAATTATTGAAAAATGTTCCTAGGTGAACGGGTGAATTTGGAATGAGGAATTTGAGTTTTAAATAGAAATTGGCTAATGTATTATACTGGATTTGGAAGTCTATTGGATAATGGATGGTATTAGATAATGGTATACGTACGGGATCTGGATTTTGTCCAGACTTTTTCTCTCCAATTATTTCAAAACTTGCATCTAAAATAAAATAAAAAGGCTAATTTCAGTAATACTTTTTCAGGTTTGGCCAAATATCAAATTAAAATATCTTTCAAAAATTACTATCACTTAGGTCCAATTTTACTTTTCTGTCAATAACACCGTTTAAAACATGTAAAATGATAATTTTGCCCCTTAATTTTTAAATAATTTTATCAAAAAATTGAAAGGACCTAAATACCCTCCATTTTCACACTTGCGAATTCAGCATAGGGCTGGGTTGGGCTCCAGCCCACCCAATTTTTTTTTTTTTAATTACTATGGGTAATTTTAGTCCAGTCCAGGAAAAAAAAAAAAACATTATTAGTAATAGCCCACTCAAACAAGTCCAAGTCAACTAAGCCATTAAAATAAAAGCCCAATGGCTTAATACTAAAATAAAAGCCCAATCAAAAAACAAGCCCAGATTCTCCCACTGACTTCTTTTTTCAGAAATTTATAATTTTTTTTTTGTTGAGAAATTAAGCGAAATTTATCTATATATATATAAACTGCTTGTTTGGGTTTAAGGAGAGCACAAAAATTTATATATGTTTGTTAATGAATCCAAAACTACCAGACAGAATTAAACTTGTTTCCATTCTTAGTTTACTTTTCAAAATTGTAACCTAACAGAAAGAAAAAGCTAGAAAAGTCGATCTAAGAAGGAAAAGAGAATGTTAAGAATGACCATTATAGTTAGAATTTTAATTGATTTATAAAATAAAACCACAAACCAATAATGCAATAATTTAATCTTCAAAACCAAAAAACCACCAATCATGGGTAATTAAAAACAAGAAGAGAAGAACAGAAATTTGCAACCAAAAAAGAAAATTAAAATTTGGTGATCCGAATTTAAAATATTTGTTTTAGAATAATCTAAAATATTTTCCAATTTTCATGAGATTTGTGATTTGTGTACTGTGTTTTGAGATTTGTCTAAGCTGTGAACTTCATTAACTTTAGCCTTTAATTTTTGACTTCTATGTCTAGGCATGTGAAAATGCACTCTTATGAATGGTGTGATTTACCCCGTTCCCTTGGAACAGAAGAGTTCACTGAACATGATCAAGTTATTGAAAAAAATTCAAGAGTCTAAAGGATTTTGTCGTGGCATCTGCTCCTTCAGGATCTGGTGTGTCTTACTCATTGTGTTAATGCTTGAAAAATTCAGTTATTCAGTTATTTATTAATGATGATTGTCCAGGCTAGCTAAGTCATTTATTTTATGAACAACATACAATTTAGTTTGATTTAGGCATTTTTTATATATATTTTTTGATTTAGATATTTTTAATTTAACTCATTCTTGAAGACGAAAAATTGACTTGGGAGTTTATTATCCACGAATTTGAATTTTTAAAGACTCGTCGAGCACAACTTAGATAGATATTTTGTAATATTTGAATTCAAATATTTATCTTAATTATATTTATCTTAATTATATTTTTTTAAAAAAAATACTTTAAAAAATTATGTTATTAAATTTATGTTTAATTTTAGTCCACCCCACAATTTCTAGATCCACCCTGTTTTCACTCTCTCTCTCTCTCTCTCTCTCTCTCTCTCTCTCAACCTGACTTCTGAAGGGACTACAACTATGAAACCCAACACACTACTAACATTGATGCCCTAATTGCAGAGAATCACATCTCATCTATGTTCTTCTCTTTCTTTTTGATTTGGCAGTCAACAATTTATATGTTCTAAAAATTGCACAAATGGGTCTGTGAATCGCAACTACACACCTTTTGTTGCAACAATTCCTCTCTCTTCTCCGATCAAGCTGATTGTAGATCCCACCTTGCACCGATTCCGTTTATTTGTTTTGTTTTCTATTCTTGATCACACACCACAATGTATTATTGAATATACAGTGTTAGCAACATAGTTTGCGTCGCATCACAACAATCACAACTCATTTTTTCTAGTTCGCAACCTGGCTCAAAAACCTGATTCAGTTTGTATTTGCTTTGGATACATTTTGGCAGCATCAATTGCAATTGTGGGCTTCAACTTGTTTTGGGGTTGATTATTCTTTGTAACACCAAACATAATTGTGGTCTTCATCCTTGGCTATCTTCATCGTCTCTGGTTCTTGTTTTTGAATTTCTTCTTTCGGATTCTTTTCTGCATTGAGTTTACAATTGAAGGAAATGGCGGTTTGAATTAATGGGTATTTGATTGGTATTGATGGTGGTGGTTTGTCTTTGGAATTCACAATACAGTGATATATATATATATATATAAAAGGCTGAGTCTTGGTTTGATCAGAGCAGCGATAAACAATAGAGTCTGTATATGTGTATATACATAGACACTAATTCATAATTCACAAAACTCAATATTGGATAAAAAAATTTCACCATCATAAC